GCACCCCATTGGAAACATTTTCACCTGAAAAAACTTGGATTCCAGAATTTTCCAAATAAACTTCTGTCGAACTGTAATGAGGTGCATGATATCAGTAGCTGATGACTGGTAGAGGGACACCCAACTTGTATCACCAGCTTTGGTCTTTCCACTAGCTATAAAAGCAAGGTTAATGTTTTTAATGTCCAGTAGGTAGCAGTATGTAACATACCTATCTGTTGTGCAGATTGACACATACTTTGAGAAAGACTTGATGCAAAGCTTGGAGACCTACAAACAGTCCAGTCCAGAAGGCAACAAGACCCTTAAAGATGACTTTGATGCTGTCCAGCACCTGGTAAACGATCCACTTCTGCTTACAATGAACGCCAGAGCTATTTGTCCATGTTAATATTTTCATTTTATCTTGAATATGTTTTACTGCTGATATTTAACACACCCTTGTGTATATTAAAGTAGTTGTCATTCATTTTCCCCTGCTTTTTTCCCCTTACAGTTCCAGTGCTGTGGAGTTCATGGTGTGGCGGACTGGAGAGGTAACGTCCCATTATCCTGTTGTACCAAGGACCCCTGTAACATCCTCCTCCAATCCAACTGGCAAGAGGTTATTATACTGTATTATCACTGTATATACACCTGGTTCTCAAAAGATTCTCCAAATACAATACATTTTATTTACAGTTAAATAAGCAAAGGTTAGTTAGTATACAGCTTATTATACAGGGTTGTTACTCAAAAAAAGTAATGTATTACACATTACTCATTACGTTTTAGAAAGCTAATGCATTACTTTACTTAATTACTCCCTGTTGGAAGTATAACATATATATATATATATATATATATATATACATATAGAATTAGGTTTATTGCTAAGTAAGTTTTTACACATACGAGGAATTTGTCTTGGTGCATTGGTGCATAAAATATAAAAATCACACAAAAATCACACAAAATAAGGTACTTTTAAAATCGAAATAAATAAAGATAAGAAAACTGTACAAGAAACGGGAGTGCATTAATGTAATGTGTGTGTATGTATATATATATACACACAAATTTTGTCTTTCAGGGTTGTCTCGTGAAAGTGAGGGACTGGTTTGCCAGAAACTATCTTAGCACAGGTGCAGGTGTTGTCACAATGTTTATCATACAGGTACAGTATATTTAGCCTTCTTATGGTCCTTATTATGAGGCTCTTGCAGGTGTTGTCCTTTAGCTATTAGACCAGACCAGACATACTTTAAAATGTAAAGGTCCAGTGTGTAACATTTAAGAGACTCTATTGTCAAAAGTGGAATATAATATTCATAGGTATGTTTTCATTAGTGTATAATCACCTGAATATAGGAATCGTTGTGTTTTTGTTACCT